ATCAAAACAGAGCTCCAGGGTTTTCCTCTAAATCCATTTGATCACAAAAGACACCACAAACACACCCAGAGGCTTGGGGACACAGCAGGAATTTGTTAAAAAAAACCAGAAATAAGAGTGAAACTCACCCCAGGCTTGCTCTGTAAATCTGGGAATTTGCTGAGGACACAGACTTGAGCCTTTGGGAAGAGGGGATGACTTCCCAAAATCTGGAGAAGCGCAGTGGGATCCACCTTGGGTGCTGTGGATGACACCAACCTGTGCAGGAGGAATATTGAGGGATTTACTCTCCAAGGAATTTGTGGCTCCTCCCAAGCACATCCTGCTAAACACCCACAGCTCATTATTAGTGCAGCATGGACCCTTTGAGATTTGCTGGAATAATCAAAAATAATCTTAATAGTTCTCAGTAGGGATTGCCTCTGGACAAAGAGCCTTGCACACTAATTAGTGTTCACCTAATTTTGTATATGGGCAAAATACCCATATTTCTATATATAAAATACCCATATTTAAAAAAAAATTAAATATTTGCGTGTCTGTAGATACTTTTTCAAGCACAGTTTTGACTTCTGCCCTCACAGGGGAAACAATCAATCATATTTGCTGTCACAGTTTTCCATGAGAGAAATTTTAAAAAGCTTTTAGCACTTAAGTTTGGAAGATTTCTCTAAGGTCTCGGATCAAATCTTGAGTTTCATTCTAAGCTTTGGCTCACAGGCCCAAAGTTCTGAGAGTTCTTTGTATTTGAGGTTCCAACACCTGTGGAAGTGGCACTTGGGGACATGGGTGACCTGGGCAGTGCTGGGAAGAGGTCCTAAATAATTCCATGATTCCAGGATCTCGTGTCCAAACAGAATAAGGAAAAGGAAAGTTTTGTGCCTCTTTTTAGTGTTTTTTCCCTATTAAAATCACTTCTCCTCCCCATTTTCCTGCACATCTCCCACCTGTTTAGAAAACAAAGCTGGCAGTTCCTAGGATCCAAGAGAAGAAATCCCAAAGCAAGGAATATCTGAGGATCTGCAGGTGCAAACTGGACTCACCTGACCAGCCCCAGCACACATCCCTGCTGCTCCTTGGTTATGGAAAATTCCTGCAGGATCTGCTCAACTCTCTGCAGGGCTGAGTCCTCCTTCTTCAGGTACTGGTGGTAGAGCTTTTTCCAAGGGATAAACTGGAATGGGAAGCACAAAGCAGCAGGTTTCACCTCATGGCATTCCAAAAGGGAATTCCAGGGGGAAAAGGGACAAGTCAGGGAGTTCCCAAAAGTGCTGGGGTTGAGAAAGGAGCTGGATGGGAAAGGGAGATGGGGAAGGAAAGGGGAGAAAGGGGGGGAAAGGGAGGGAAAAAAGAGAGAGGGGGGATCAAAGAGAGGAGGAGAAAAAATGAGGGAGGAAAAAAGAGAGAGAAAAAAAAAAGAGGGGAAAAAGAGGGAGAGGGGAAAA